ATAGTGTCTTCGTTAGAATTAATTCGCAGCGTGATAAAAAAAAAATTATTACAGATTATTGCAGTTCAGTAAAAGGAGTAATAAATCACATGCGCTTTTTCATTACTTATTTGATTCTCTTTGTGACTTTATTACTCTACATTTTTACGACGTTTTTGAATTGTCCCTACGAATAAATAAAAAAAAAAAAAAAACGATCACAGAAACCAGAGTAAAGAAAGGTGTTACCCTCAATATATAACGACGTCCAATTAACTTACATTTCCGATTCGGAAGACGTTCTTTAACACAATCGCAAACAACGGTAAAATCGCGCGATTAAAACACAACTGCAGTCGCGCGTTACACGATTTCACGTGCCGTATAAACGCAAGCTTTTTACCGCATGCCGGTCCGATATGCCGGAACACGGCGTAGTCGTCGCTAACGAGCCGTAAAGACAGAAGAGGAATAGTAGGGCCGAGCTGGGAGGTTGCTTGCGCAAGGATCGACTGGGGGACAGGGGTAGGGCCCTCCCGACCATGTCGCGAAGTTTAAACAGCTTAGAGGGATGTTGCGGCGCCCCCGATGGGGCGCCAAGTCAACCGAAAACCTCTAATAGCCCCGTCCGTCTACGTGGAAAGGAGACCGAGAGAAAGAGAAAGAGATAGAGAGAGGGAGAAAGAGAGAGAGAGGTCGTAACCGGGGGTTGAAGTCCACAGGCGCATCGTGAACATGGCCGCAAAGGTGCTCGTACAGGTTGTATCTCCGCGAGTATACGATAACCGCACCCTCGAGGAGAGCCCGAGGGAAACGGGCGTTTGTTCGACCAGGTATCCGCGCACGTCGCAGCCGCAACTAAATTCATAATTTGAGAGGGTGAGAATAATTATTAATCGCGTTAAGCGCGTAGGGGAGGGTTTGCGTTTCGCTGAAAATTACGCGCGCGTCTATTTTCGCAGTATTTTTCGAATAATTTTTTTCTACGAAAAAAAACGAGCGCGGCGCAATTACAATTAATGTAATCGCGATTCAACGATTTTTCCGCGAAAGATACATGCTGCTCATAATTAAATATGTCGAGACACAGTTGTTTGATCCGCTCTTCGAGATAAGGAAAATTTTAATGTATCTCTCAGAGAGCAGCGAGAAGTGTTAAAATCATGGAGTTCGAAGATGTGTGTTTAATGTCGGTTTAACTTAGAGCGACGAAAGTTCGGTCGTCAACCACGATGGTTATAAACCAGCAGTAAATGCGTAATGCACGAAACCCGGGCGCTACGGCTTCTCGATGCAGTTCTGTTTACGCGCAAGCAACGTCATGGCACAATAAAGTAGTAAGATGACCTCGACGATTTCAATTAATCGCGCCAGTTATTGCGAGTGTTTTAATGGATATCGTATTACAGAGACTCTTTCACGAGGCTTTAATTTTGTCTGCGGGGTAACGTATAGGTATCGTCTGATATTACGACGCATATTAGACGCGGATAAAAAATTTTTCGACGCGGCGCAAGATCTCAAAATCGCGCGTAGGCATCGAAATTTTTTTGACAAAAATTTAACATACGTCGCACGATTTCTTCGAAATATTCGAGATCTAAAATCTTCGTTTTTCCGTTTTTGCGCTTGCAAAGTAATTTTGAAAAAAAATCACAACCGAGAGCCAATTCGGATTTCGGATGTAAGATCGTTCGCGCGACAGACGTCTGGAAAAAGTTGTCGAACATCTGGCCGAAATAGAAACGTTCGCGTCGAAGAGATGAAAAAAAAAAAGTACACAAAATGCACTCATTTCTCCCTTTTCCCTCTTTGCCTCGATCCATCGACTTTACTTCGCAACAACAGCGAACAGGTTGTGTTTATTGTGAAAACAGAAAGGGCACGATCACGCGTGTGTAGATAAGGTCGCGTACACACTGCGAGTTGATCATCCCGATGACAGAGGGACGATGATTTTGATTGATAATGTTTCCCTGTAATCACATGTAGACGCTGAGACACGTCGGGAATCGGTTGATTTTGCACTCGAAACGCCGAGAATGATATAGAAAGCACACCTGGACTGTGATGTCTATAATTAAATCAATGTAAAATTTCTACGTGAAATATCAGTTAGAGAAGATACGTAACAAAAATTTATATTGTGACAAAATATCTCTTTACTGATATATAAACTAGAAACAAAAAAAATCTTAATAACGAGCCAACAAGCTGTTACAACTTATATATACACGTTAAAGTTTTATTACGCCAAATAAAATCGATGCTATTTAACTCTACTATTCGAGCAACCCCATAAAGTTCTGAAAATATTCTGCACGCTCTTTCCAAAGACATTCTACCGGTGTTTTCTCATCGAAGAGCCTCGTGACCACTTGCCAGTCTGTCACTTCGCTCGTCAACCCCTTGCAACGACCGTGCACTTGACTCTCGTCGCGTTATCCCCCGTCGCGTACCGCCATCCCCGAAAACGTTCGTCTAACTGCGAAGGTAACGCGAAGTAACGTTCCGACCCCTCGTAGCCTATTCCGGGTTGCCGGCTCGCGCACGAACAATATTTGCAGAGCTCTTATTCCCGACCCCCGTGAGCGGTGGTGCTTCGGCCCTCCCTTGCCCCCCCGCTCGCGCCCCGAACCACCCGTTTCTCTTTCCGCCCCTCGTGTGCACCAGCAACCACCTACCTCTACCTACCTAATAATGATTTTACGTTACGCTACGCCGTTCCCCGGGGAATCCGACGGTGCCGCACCCTTATTGCACATGGCCCGCGCTCGGTACATGGGGTACGTAGACCGCTAGCCGAAGAAAGAGGAGGGAGAGTTGGAAAGAGAGAAACAGAGACAGAGAACTGATTATCATTAGCAGCGTAGTCCCAGAACACCCTCCACGCTGCCTGACGCACGTACGCACGCAGCCAGCACATCGCTCGAGGTCGTGGGAGCAACGAGATTTGTTCGTGCGTATGATAAAAAAAAAAAAAAAAAAAAAAAGAGAAAGAGAGAGAGAGAGAAGCAGAGAGGAAAAGAGAGATCGTATCGAGGACGAAAACAGCTCGTCGAATCGATCTAGTGTGCGTGTGCATTGCAGGTGTGTAGCTTATCAGAGAAGCGACGAAACAGATTTCAAGGCAGATTTTTCTTTCTCTCTTTTAATTAATTTCACGGAAAAATAAGAGAAATTAATTAACCATCTAACAACAAGCAACTCGTCAGTGACCTATAATATAAATTCCACTTTTTACAAACAACAGGTTTTGTTGTTTAACGCGTCTAATTAAAGAGTCACAAATCTATGTGTTTGCTAGTGCAAACGTTGTGTGCAAATACGTGAAATATTATTATTTTTGAAATAATTTAGATAATAGTTTTCGACCGCGATCTTAATGTTCGAATCACGTAGAACGTATCGAAACACGGTCTTTCATTGAATAAAAAATGTTTGGAAAAAAAAAAAAAAAAATGCGAAGCGCGCGGTGCCGCCCTTCACCACGGAAGAAATAACTGTCCCCCGAGAACGGAAGATTCCGCAAGAAAAAAGACCTTCGGACTTGTTCTCGTTTCACGACGCAATTGGCGCGAGCAGATCGTGAACGTCATTGGTCGGCGCTTTCACGGCGCCTTCTGAATTTTTCATCTCCTGAATAATGAATTAAATGTTTCATGCTGACCCTCCGCGTGGGGCGTAACGGTGCGTGTAGGTGGACGCAACCGCTTGCAACATAGGGATTCGAGAACGCGGTCCGCAAGTTATTGTTAGAAAAGTCTGCGGAAGTGACCGTCGCTTTGTATCCTGTTGAGTCCTTTCCCTCGGCCGTAATCGGTAGCCGTAGAATGAACGTCGTTTGGGGGCGGGTGAGGTCCTCGGAGTGACGGCAGGATGGAGTGGCGTGAGGGAGGACAAGGTGATAATTTGATAAGACATCGGGAGGGGTTGCCATGGAGACGATACAAAACCCAGAGCCAAGACCGGAACCCTCCGCAGCAGGCGTCTTCTCTCCTTCGCTGCTCTCTCCACCCTCGAGAAACCTGCTCCTTCAAGAGTTCGCTCCATCAGCCGGGAGACATCGAAGTGTCAAGTGTCGTCCTGCCGCCGGCACCGCCTCACGCGAGTCTCCCAACTTTTACACGCACGTAAGACTTCAACGCGTTTGACACTGATGCGTGCTGTCGAAGATAAACACGCATGGACACGAAAAAAACACGATGAAGATTTTACGAGAGGATTGTCTGCTAATCCGAAGTTATCTTTTGAGATATGCAAACACAGAAGTTACACAAAATTTTCAATAATATTTTAATTCTAAATTAAACTTATTGTTTAATTATTAATTAAGTATTCAAGCAAAAATTGTTTAGAAATTATCGTAAATGATTTTAAAAAAATTCTATTAGACGTTCTCCACTGAGATCGATAGATTCTTCCATAAATTTACGCAATTATCAGTTGAGATAATCACTTCGTGTGACCCACTCGTGTCTTGCACAGACTTCCACGTTGTGTCACAGCAAAGTTCAATTCCAAAGATTAGGGAGGCTAGGACAACACCCCAAATCGTGAGAGCAAAGGACGAGAAGGCTAAATGCAGGAGAGACATGGGAATGGGGAAGCGCCCCGAAAGACATTACGATTATTACCGAGCGAAACTCGCAATGTGGGACTCGGCATCCCTGAAATGCACTGGCCACATGTGCCGTATTCAACTCGATCCTCTCGCAAGGACTCGATCCAGACTGTTGGCTGCATTATTTATTGTACGAACTTGCCGGACTAATTGATCCCTTCTCGTCCCCTCGATAACGACACCCGTCGGAATTATGAGCGCGATTTTCGTATGACGTTTTCCGAAAGTTAACGAGTTGCTCAAAGATGAGATAATCGCGCATCAACAAATCCGCACGCACAATTCGAGAGTAATTGTTTTCGTTAAACATTTTCTATGAGTTTTGCAAGTATTGTCAACTGACAAAAATAAAATCTTTCGCTCTCTCCGTTTAACTCGGGATTCGTGAGTTACTCACCGGTGTGTATGTAGGTGTGCTTTTTCATGTCGCTCTTCTGGTGGAATCGCTTGCCACAGAACTGGCAGGGATACGGTCTCGTGTCCGAGTGGATTAGAAGGTGAGTGCTGAGCGTGCTGGATCTCTTGAAGGCTTTGCCGCATTGCTTGCACTCAAACACCTTCTCGGCGGAATGCACGGCCCTGTGCTGCGTGAGACTGATTTCGTGGCCGAAGGTTTTATTGCACAGCTCGCAGGCGAAGGGCCGTTTACCGTTATGCGACCGTCTCGCGTGCACCTACGCGAAAATTAAATGTTTTTAAACATTAAATTAAATGTAATTAATTTAAACATCACATTATGCGAGCGCTATCACACACAGTAATTTAAGTTTATTTAAATCAACATAGCTGTAAACAGAGAAAGTATAACTTTTTTATAATTATAATTATAAAATAATTATAATTATAAATATAAATACGTTTAAAATGTAACAAGGTTTAAATACATTTTAATTTTTGCCCGGATATGTGTAAAAATATTAAAAATGTTTCACCGCACGTGAAAAAATGGCGGTAATAAAGTCGTCAGAAAATTCTCAGATGAACATCCGACAGCAAATCAGAAATGAATCAAAACAACCGGAGGAATCCTGGAGTCTGATAAAAAAAAAAAAAAAAAAGCACGCGTTGAATGAGCGCGCATACGCACCTCGAGCCCATGCGGCGTGCTGAACATCTTGTCGCACTTGACGCAGCTGTAGACATCGCCAAGCGGATGGGGATGATGCAACCCGTGCGCCGTGTGAGTCGAGTGCAATCCCGGATGACCCGGATGAACGCCGCGCAGTAACGGGTGCAGGTGCGGTGACAGAAGATGATGTGGCAACAGCTGGTGATGCAGGTACGAGAGGGGGTGGTGCGGGTGGGGCGGCAGAAGACCACTCGGAAGATGCAGCGGCGGATAGGATAGGATGGACGAGCCGGATGGAGGCGGATGAGCGCCCATCGAGGCAGTCTCTCGATGTGGAGACGCGTTTTGCAGATGAGCGGAAGGTGGATCTGGCCTTAGAAGAGCCGACACGCTGAAGCTGTCTCCGGATTTCTTCGGCGGATGCGACACAGGGGACGTCGCGACGCTGACCGGCGACGGCGACGGCGTCGACGACGATCGCGGCGGACTCGAGGTACCTTCGTGATCATCCTCGTCACCAACTTCTTCGACGTCCACGTCAACTTCCTCCTCGCCGACGTCAACGTCCACTTCGGCGTCTCGGCGATCGGGGAGAGGGGAATCTGGACAGGGAGATTGCGACGGCGAGGGACTCCTCGTCGTCGGCGAACCTACCAAACGGCCCACTCCGAAGGATAGTCGTTCTGAAACAGCATATATATATTGCATTTTATAATGATTAATAATAATAATAAAATAAAATTGTAACGCAAAACCTTTTTATCTTTATGTTACAAAATAATTTGGATCTAAATAATAGTGTATATCCTTTGTAAAAAATAAATAATTTTTACAAAGTTTATACACTATGTTAAATTTTATATTTATTTAATTTATATTTATTTAATTTTTATTTTATGTAAATCTAATCCCGCAAAAATGTCCAAAAACGTAAAACATTTTAAATCGATAAACCAAAGTTCATTCACACTGTCAAGTCAAGAAACCAAGATAGCCAATGACTAGACGGAAGTAGCTACATCACGTATGAAGTACACGGCGGATACGCTAGATGTAGAGGAGAATTCGAAAAAGGAAGACCACGGGTAAATATAGTTTCTCTTCTTGCGAAAAGGACCCGGTCGGAATGAGATTTGAGTCACGTACCGGGCCCTTTTTTTCCTCGCTGGCGCGAGGGTGTTTAAGGGACGGGGCAGGGCACGAGAGGTCGTGACAGGGTCTCATGTTGCGCTAACGAGGTATCGCGAGCGGAGAGCGAAATGGTGTGGCGCCGAGAGCAAAATGTATTTCCGCGACGTTTCGTGAAGCAGTGTCCTTAATGAAATCCCTCACGCGTTCTTTTGAAATTTTTTATCCAACGCGATGTCACAAGTCGTGATTAACCCGTTAACGGCATAAAATTACGATTGAGTGATAAAATGGTGAGAGAGCACTTCTACATCTATTTAAAGAACTAAAGTGTTTAAATTATTGATACGTGTATAATTCTATCACAAAATGTTTAAATGTTAGATTTTTCTTATACGTTTTAGTTTTATTTGTTCTAGATATATGTAATTATACATATTAAACAACGTGTCACAGAATTATTGTTCTAACGTTTCATCGGTTAATTTATAATGCACAAGGGGAGATCAAGCTTTTATCATCTATATATTATTGTAATATTGCATTAATATTTTCGCGATGACAGCTTGCATCGGATCGCAATTTCGGTATCGCGCGTCAATCGGAATTTGCTACGCTCCCCGATTATCAAATCGATGACTTCCGACGCAGCTTTGATTTGCGCGTCGCGTCATTTTATTGTCCGGTTCAAACGACATGAGTCAATCGTCAATTTTTGATGCGTTTGTTAGATTAAACGCGCGTATTTATTTTATAACTTTTCGTTATCGTCGTGACGTATGTTTGACGGAAAATTTCGTAGCAATTGAGATTTTGTTCCAAGATATATGATTAACAAAAAAGATTGATGACATCCTATCTCGCTTATTATTTACAATTGTTATTTGAAGTAATTTACATCTGTGGAGAATTTTCCTAAAATCTTTAAGATTATGTACATCACGTACGCATCACGCGCGTTCAATTGTGGGTATAGGAATTATTCGCGGTATTTCTAATAATCATCCAATCGTCGTGATTTACGGCGTCGAGTGGATCGGAAATCGGGCACGCGCTCGGCTACGCGAGGAAGAAGGGCGGAACTCTCTATTTCACGGTCCCCTCTCGTTGCCCCGGCAATTTCGACGTCGCACCATTCATATTGCGTATCTGGCACACACCCGGTATATTATATTTATAATCCGTGCGCGCGACACGCGGTCACGTGCCGGGTTTTCTGTATGATGCACCGGTGTCGGTTAATCGCATTTAAAGCTCTCCGCGAGCCCCGTCGTTGGGGTCGATTATTATCGTGTCTCCTGGTGGCTTTGCAATCGAATCAAAATACGACTCGAGTCAGAGAGTGGCCTAATGTAATGAGAAACGCGCCTCGCGTCTGCGGGGATCTGTCCGAGGAGACAGATAGGTGCTTTACTGCACCGCTCGAACACACACTATGGAAAGACGCAAGCCAACGGCTAATGAAATTACCGCTATTACATTCGACATTTTGTTTTTTTTTTTTTTTTTTTTTATAATGAAGTGTATTCCAGCCCAAGGCTGAAACATCTACTCAAATTTTAAGATATTTACATTGTAGATATGTAATATATTACAAAGGAACGGATTTTTTTTTTATTAACTGTCTTTAGGCCATAAAAATGCCAAGGTGCCATAAAAGCGTCGGCCTGCCTAATCTTTATTTCAGTGTTTTTTGTCAATACGCGATAAAGTATAGAGAAAAAAAACTTACCGCTTGTAAAATCTCCCGCAACGAAGTTTATGCGTTTTCGAAATCTTATGTGTGTTTAGATTTTTTTCTCAGAGTACGATCAAAAAGTTTTTATATTTAAAATTAACTTGAGTAAATGTGTGAGACGATCGCGTGAAATCTGTCGCTTTACGTATCACGGCAAGGAAAATGGAGACGAATCGAGACGAGAATAAGCAAAAAGAAAGAAGGAAGTCCGAACAGATGTGATAGGAAGAACTGCTTACGCAAATATCGCGTCTGCGTCGAGTGGAATGCGCTAAAAACTGGTGATGCAAACCGACGAGAAAAACGGCCGGCGGTCGTCCGGCAGATGGGTTAACTTTGCTGCTCCGGGATCCGCGCGCGCACACGTGCGTCTGACGTTGCATCGAGATGCATCTCACGTGGTCCGTAGTGGCTTCCAGCCTCGATACAAGTAAATGAAACTTCTTGAATCGACTTCGAAATCGTTTTTGTCACAGCGATCTTTGCCACCGACCGCCATGTTTGCGCGAAGTGCTCCGAGTCGCTTATGTCACGAACGAGACAAAGTTTCCAGAGCATAGCTGGCCGTATGAACAGTAGTGAACGATCTGGAAACTTGTCAACACTTGTTGTCCGTTGCATACATGGCGCGTGCACAAATCATTGTGCCGAAAACGAAAAATAATTTGGCTTATTATTGTTAAGAACAAAATGAAAAAATTTTCGAAGAAGAGAAATATATGTGTTGAGGAAAAAATATTTCTACAGACTCTTTCCATTCTACAAAATTATATAAATACAGAATGTACGTATAGAGTAAAATTTTTAATTTCTTTTTTTTTTTTGATTAAAAAAAACACAATCTAAAATTTAATCGACAAATTTGATCGACAATTTCAGTATATAAGCGTTTCTTGCTGCGAATCGGCGCGGGGCTCGACAAGGGGATGACGACGAGGTTGCCGAAGATGGTTGTGGATTAATAAAGGAAGGCCAAACTGGGGGGACAATTAGATCGAGTTAACGGCCAACTTTAATCTTCTGTCGTCCGTCAGTCGTTTACTGCGTAGCGATCTGCCGCTATTAAAGCCGTTACACACTTCACATTCAAACCCCTTCCGTGCCGCCGGTTCATGGAAAGGAATACGCGTGACCTTTGCCATATAAGCGGCGTCAATAGAGCCGAGTGACAGGACGATGTGGGTTTTCAAAAACGGATTTTTCATCCGGCCGTCAGTGCCTACTTAAGGTTGATCTCGAAAAGCGATATCGCTTCAAGAGGCACACAGCCACGAAAAACTGGTAATTCAAGAAACGATTTTAACTCGAAGAGATTTAAATTGAGTGAAGATGATACATCACAATTTGATGACAAAAGCGTGATTTAAGTACACTGATAATAATAATAAAAGTGATTGCAAAAGTAAAGCGTTTTCCACTTCTTTATCACGGCTTTTACAATTTTCTACTTCGGCTCTTCTAATCTTCTACATTTTCTATGTGATAACGGTAACAATGACGACTCATATACTAGACAGTACTATAATATATTGCTTGATAATCGTCATGTTTACGACGCGGAATCTTGGCGTTGCAATAACAATGGAAGCACAACGATAAAAATATCGCGACCGATCTTATCACGTCCGAGAACGAACGGAGCAGATGAATGGCCACGTGCACGCGCGCGCGCGCGCGCAAGGGAAGGAGAGAGCAAGGGGAAGGAGTAGGAAGAGAATATGCACGGGCGTTTAACATGACAAGACGCTACTAATTCATGGTAGGTACGAGCACAAAGAAGCCGACGGCCCGAATCCCTGTGCCCGCGCCTCTAATCCGCTCCAATTGGACCGGCAGAAGTTAGAGAGGCCCATGTCCGTCCGTGGTATGACGCGTGCTACCATTTATTCCAATCGTCGGCGACGACGACCGGTCGTTCTTAATGATCGGCAAATAAAAACTCATCCGGGCCGAGGAGGAAGCCATCATCGGGGGCGAAAGGTCGCGACGCTACACACCCGCGCGTCTACACCTTTCCGAGATAAGCGACAGCGAAAGAGAAAGACGTATGGCAGGGATTACAATTACGAGATGCGTTATGATTCTTGAAGCATTTAATGATTAAAATAATTAATTAAAAAAAAAACACTACCGCTTCACGTAGATAAAAGTGAACAAGATGCCGTTTAAAAGCAATAAAGTACACATCATCAGATAATTCGATCAAGTACATACCTGAGTGACTTTTCGGTAAAGGTGGCAGGTTCGTAACCTCCGTGGGATTTCCAAAAGGTGCCCATAATTTCGGGAACATTAAACGAACATTGCATCCACCTGAAACAAACGATATCACATAACGTTATTGAAAAAAAAAAGTTTTTTATTGTCAAAAACAAATCATTTACGCTTTAAAAATTAAATAAGTAAAAGAAAAACAAGTTAAATAAAGCAAATACGATTTTTTACTCACGCGAGTTTTTAATAGTTGCGTAAGTGATGATGCGAATAAATATATAATCGGTCTGATTGGATTTATTATAGTTGGGATCGAATGCCGAAAGGTGTGATCACGCGACGTAAAAAGATGAGGAATTTAAACAACGAAATAATGACGTATATTGTCCGATCGATTATGCATCGTTACTCGATCACCTAGTAACGCGAAAGTGACGTCTCAAGTCCTGACAAATTTGGTATTCCTAGTTCGTAGAAAAGATCAACCCCTCGACAAGAGCGTCTTTATTAGAAAGGAGAAGCCCTCCTCTATTTATCAACCTTGCTCCGGCCATTACTCGCTCTCTTTCTCCCCGAAACCTGCATTCCTATCCTCGAACATCCGCCATCTATTCTGGGTTGGTTTCTTTGATCGTTTCTGGTGGAGTTATCAAAAGTTCGTACTTCACGCCAATTCGCCACCCCGATGATTAATCAGATAACCGAAATCTTTGTCTTCCGCTTAGCGAGCAGTATGCGAAGAATCACGTTCTTATCCAATTAATATCAACGCGCAATCACACGTTAGTATATTTCAAGCTTTGCGATAAAAACATTTGTTTATTTATTTACAAAAATTTTTTTGCTATAATAATGTCAACTCTTTGAAATGTGTGTTATATCTAATTTTTTTAATTTACAAGATAAAAATTACACGCGCAATTATCTGTTTTATTGCTCAATAATCTGAAGATTAGCTATTTAATATTGCAGCGTAAATGTAAAGAAATCTGCAACTATATGGCAATGAGAAATTAATCACGATAGTTGAGAGAGAAATTGCGGTTTTCTTCTTCTCTCTCTCTCTCTCTTTCTTTCTCGGCCGACAAACGATCTTGTCGTAATCCGTGTCAGCTTTTTTTTTACATAGATGCGATAAAATATCAAATCAGAGCTTAGCGACGTTGAGTGTAATCCAGGTCTATCTAATCGTTCAACTCGATCGTACTAAATCAGATTTATCTTTTTCTATATTGGTATACCGTATGTGTCACTGACGTGTGTGTCGCTTTATTTTACTATCAAACAAGAGTAAAAAAATATATAAATCAAAAAAGATCCTTTAGTAAAAATTTTATTTTACTTCATTTTATTTATGAAAAAAGATAAAGAGAGAGAGAGAGATAAGTAATTAAAGTAGAATAACATATAGAATAAAATATAAGAGATGTTGATTTCTCTACTTCAAAAAAAGTTTTCAAGAATCAACTATTTATCACACAAATGTTTACATAAACGAAACAAATAAACATTTGAAATTTTTATTACACAAGTTTATTGACGTACAATCAGATTTCAACCTTAAATAAATATTACCAAAAGTAAATTTGAAGAAATCAATAAAAACATTTTATCTCCGAGAAAAGATAAATCTGAGACATTCTATTTACCGGATAAAGTATTATAATAATCACAAAAATGTGTAAACTTTCATTAGTTTATTCTATTTCAATATCACGAAAATGTTTGAACGTTGATTACGCTGATTGTAAGAGTCTATCTTTAAATTAAATCGAAATTTATTTGAATTATGATATTGTATGTGTGTGTAGTAATCGTCACATATGTATTCGGTCCCACGAGATAAACAAACCATGAAAAAAAAAACATATATAAATTGATTTTCAGTGTATTTATTATTTTTGACGCTCTGCACTAATGGCGTTAGTCGGTCATTAGCGGTTGACAGAAAATGAAGCACACGAAGTGCAGAAGTCTGCACAGAACCAGCTTTTTTCTCTCTCGCGGAACAGAATACGGCACATGTATATTAAAAAACATTATTTATTTTACACAAATTTTTTGAGACAATTGTTGCTACAATTTCACAATATAAAACATTAATTATTTCAAAACAGAGAAACAAGTCTATGGTTTTTGAAATTTATATGTACAACAAGAACTGATTCTGCATGTTGTTAGTTGCAATAATATTTGTGCAAAATGATGTAATAACAGTTTTATAACAACATTTTGTACAACGGATTATCTTTGCACGTAATTCTTAAAAATCGCCATAAAGAGATCAATTGAATCAATCGATAACGATGATCGGCCGATTATACCAAGAATCAAATACAAAAAAAATACAAAAAAAAAATACAAAAAAAGACAGAAATCCAGGCAATATAGAATCGGCCGGGATAATCTGAGATAGCACGCGAAAAGATTAGACTGTGCCGCAAAGGCTGTCTCATTCTCGCAAGGATTATCAGAAATAAATCATATTTTGTATTACATATATAGCCGACGCATCGCACCCGAGATAAGGATATGTACATCGGGTGTAACACATCGATACGCGCGAATGTACACACAATGAACAAACGCGTGTCTCCCAAACGAAGGCGTCAAGCGATATCGGCCGACATTTATCCTGCGTTTGTCTGCTATCGTCCCGTCGTAAATCTATAAAACAGTAAAGCTAACGTGATTTGCCGTGAAAATTGGCTGTCAAAAAAAAACGAACACGGTCGACCCGAAGTAGATCCCAAAGATTATTGATTTATGGAAAATACACAAACGTTCTAAACTAACAGTAATCTGCGACATCTTGAGGAAAATACTTCTTGTATGGGAGAAAAAAATTGAAAAACCGAATTGTTAACTGAAAACATTTGTCTATTTTTTTTTTTTTTTAACAAGTACCGCTTCGATTACATAAATAAAAGAAAAACAAACGGTCGCGTTCTTTTAAACCTATAAGTACTAAACAGAGACATGTCAAGTGTGTGTGTACCAGTAAATATGAACGGAATAGAAGAAGAGCAAGTCAACCCTCTCGACAAGCTGCCCATCACCTGGCAATTATCGTTTAAACCGCTTAGCTCGACGCCTATAGCTCGATATTATTGCGTTTAGTAGCCTGTTACCGCGATTAGTAGCGGGGTATTAGTATAGTCAGCCGTCTCTAATGCCAGCTACATCCCCTCTCACCTGTTGAACAGACCGTTTGTGCACAACGACTACGGCCAATACGCACCTGCACGCGCGTGTATTCATGCGTACGCTTTCGCGCGCCGCGCCGTGCGCGCGATTCGCGCGCGATCCGCACGCGTATGCGTGACACAAGAGCTCAGGTGTCGGAGCTGACGCCGCGTAAACGCCACGTTGCTACGGTAATAGGCAGGTAATAGATAGGATGATGACAGACGAGGGATGAGCGCGGGATGCGTATCGGGGGCGCTGCGCCATCGGAACGGTTGGGGATGTCAAAGGCTTGAGAGCGTGATATGCGTTTTCAGCCGGTTATTCTGTGAAATACGCGGGGAGGTTTTCCCCATATTTATACGCGCTGTCGGTGTGTGTTTCTGAGCTTGATTGTTTTGCGAGAATGTTCTACAATGATTGACAGCAATAAGAGGTTTATTTATTTAGGTTCTCGAGACAACAATATGACAGGTTTTCGATAACAATCACGTAACGCCTTTACTTCTTCATCGTGCGAATTCGATTTCCATATTCTTTAAAATATGGTATTTGCGCGTCACGTTAGTTCGTGTAATATCATTTATCTAATGTAAATAGACGAGCGTCTGTGTTGTTCTTCTTTCTAAATTTGCTTATTAGATTTTGATTTGTTACTCTTGTGTATATTTTACTTTAACCTCTTGATCTTATAATTATTATCATATAATTTATAATTAAACGGAGTAAAACCCATCCAGCCACAAGTCATACGATTTGTACATAAAGTCTCTAAGTTAGAATTCAAGCGACAAACTAAAATAAACGCGATAACATTGACGAACAAAATGATCAAGCAATAAAAATGAAAAGGCAAGTAAGAATAATCTTAATCGCCTTAATCAATGACAGGTACGACAAGTCTAGAAGTTCAGCAACATTTTACGTAAACCCTGATTTTGCTTTTTTTTATATAATTTCTGAAAGTTGTCTATACGTTTAACACTTAATGTAGAAATGTAATAATTAATGAATTATATTAAGTATTTTGGGGTATAATTCATCTTGTCATTTACTTTTGTTGTTCTCTTCTTATTACTCTGTTGCGATGTAATATTGAATTGGTTTTTATTTAAAGTGCATTGGTATAAATAAACATATTTCTCAATTATACGAGGTTTTCTTTGCTTTTGTTGTAAAATATTTTAAATAAATAAATGTTCAACAAAACTTTGACTTATTGTTATTAACAATACGGAGAGAGATATAATATTTGCTTTCTCGAGTGGCAAATTATTTAGACTTTCTCACCTTCGGCATCAATGGGAATTTGTGGATTTTCTTGAAGATTTTCGTTGTTATTGGTTTCCGGCGGCAACGGCTGCTGATGCACGAGCGACGAAGCCGGTTGCTTAGGTTTGACAACCCGAAACGCTGACGTCTCGGCAACCCCCCGTCTTGAAAAGTCTAACGGACCCACCCCGACAGGTGAGTGTTGTTGCTGTACTTCCATCATCCTGGAATCCACTAGTCAATTTACAACTTTCGCGTCACTAAACACGATATTCGCATCCTCGTTCACCACGTCCGTATATTCCTTGCGTAGTCTTTTTTCAACGTAAACAAACATACACCTTTTTTTCGAACTCTTCTATTTCCAAATTTCTTCAGAGACTCGGCAGTCTTGTCACTCCCCTGTTTGTTTCTATTTAAAAGTCTTTAAGAATAACGATTTATATAATCGCAGATTATATTCGTTTAAAGTTTCTTTAAAAGAGAAAAAACTTGCTTCTTAAATAGAGCGATGCAACCGGAGCGCATTTAAATAGAATCCTTCGTCAGAACTATTTATTTACGGACGTCATTCTTTTCGCGAGTTGTCAATTTTTTGTAGATGTACAGCAGCACAAGAGCACTAAGAGTTTTTTTTTTTTTGCGGACACGGATCAGGACACTCGTGATTGTCAACACCTGGAAGAGTCCTCGCAGAACAGCTCCTGCCGACTTCGCAGCAGTGAATACGTATCGTACAAGAGTCGGGGCTTCCGGTTGTCAGCGACACTGATTTCCGTGCGGTCCATCGGCCGGACAGGGAAAGGTCGGAAACGGCGGAACACCGGCTCGAGTCCGGGGATGTGAGAGACGTTAGCCGTTAGAGCGGGTGCCTCGATGCCGACTGCTGTTAACGGGTCTGATAGTGGAGGGTCTCCTATGCGATGACGGCCGCAAGAGCGGCGAACGTGGAGAAGGAGAGAGACGGCAAAAGCCACACGAACAAACACACACATCGTCAAGATCCACATGGAGGGATACACGGAGAGGGATAAACACTCACACAGACATTCGATGCACACCGGGATTTCGGTCCCGGGCACCGCCTCCTGGGCACGCCTTCTCTTTCCTACTCCACCCACACACACACCGGGTTATTTCTTGCGTTCGTGATGATGTCACGCACAACCAACACACTGACAATTCTCGATCCGTGGAAAAGAGTGGGGATGCGACGTTACCGAGAGCTACCGGGAGTCGCTGCTGCGACATTGCTAGTGGGGTTTCTGATGGGGTTTACATGCACATTCACATATATACACGTGCGTGTGTACGGCCAAACTGCACGGCCACCGAACACAAGATACACGTTGCCGCGCTATACGCTCTCTCACCTCCGGTTGCAGCATTATGTGGAACCACTCGGCCACCCTGATTCCACTCTTGACTCCACTGATTGATATTTGCGCGCTGCCCCCGCGCACTTGAAGCGTACGTGCACGTACGCCCCAGCCCGGAGCTCGTCCTTCAACACTCACCTAGAAGGTGGATGCCGCGAGGCGAACTTAGAAAATTTAGGCAACGGGGAGTGCGAAGGTGAGAGAGAGAGAGAGGTTGCACTTTTACTGCAGCGAGAGCGATCCTGGATATTTCTCAGGAGATGAGATTTCGAATGAAATCTTCGGGCTTGCTAGAGGAATTCTTAGATCACGTTCATCGCTCTTCCAAGGATTGTGTTCTTAAGTGATATCTGGTTGAGAAAAGCGCACGGAAAAGGAAGGAGCGGAATGAATAAAGTTTAGAGAATATCAACTACACGTGAAATTTCAAAATCAGTCTGCGTATCATCAAAATACATTGTAGATGATCTTCTTCTAATTTTTGCGATGCGGAGTAATTTATTAAATATCCGAGAGATCTCTAAGTTTCCCATGATTTTTTTTGTTTAGTGGGTGTTATATAATTCAACCAAAAATAAATTTTAAATCTTAGCTTTTATGAACTTCAGTAAATACCTAATCTTCAACACTGGCGGCGAAAAGTCTTTTATGATTTTACTCTCCAAAGAAATAAATCCATTGCGATATCGGGCGGCAATAAAATTTATCACAAGTCTCAAACAGTTTTAACGTTTAATCTTGACAACACGTCGGGTGTATATTCCGAACTAACGCGCGACTTCTAGTCGATAACTCGGAATTTTCGGTGCAACGACACTTTGGCGTATGCTCGATAATGTATTGTGTGCAGTGGGTTTTAACTTTTTTTTGTTCGCAGAAATATTCGCGGTCGTCATATTGCAATCGTTTTTCTTTGTATGTTCAGTATATTCGCGCGTATGTACAATAAAAACACGTACAATGTAATTCCTTCAGCTGCATTGATCATATATTGACGAGTTAATTCGTTGCGATTTTCTCCCACTTACGTTCTTCCGATAAAACGAGATTATATGAGTTTTCACTTTTTTTCGGTTGCTTATTCATCATGATAAGGTTTGCGAAATCATTGCGCAAGATTTTTCGCGCATTTTTCGAGAGATGTGCGTATAATAAAACAAAGTGTAAATATTCAAAATTAATTTTTCAATCTTCCTCTATGTGTTTTTATATACTCATCTGTTATTTCGCACTTATTTTAAACATAAATTAATAACACTAGATAATTGTTCGCGGGCCTTTCCCAAACACAGCACGTTTGCGATGCAACACATTCCAACTTGTATCCATAAATTAATATGATTCATGGCACAATTTAATTATCATGCGACATGCTCGCGCTCGCTTTAACGCGACATTGCAACGAAACGAATCGGATGCGCGAGAATTCGAACATCGGCTTGTCAAATCTACGTGGTTGCAACGTACATACGGAACGACATGCAAAACAATCTTGAAGTTAACATCTTTGACCACGTTTATAATTTTAACTTTACGAAAGCATACAATCAATAAAAGAAATAAATGTAAAAAAATGATATAAAAAATCATATCAACGATGTTGTGTCGTCTAACTAAAGAAATCCTTACCTTACGTTTCCCTTACTTAAATTTTTCGGAGAAGATAATATTCCATATATATATATTTTTTTTTTCTTGATAGATCATTCTTCGCGCGTGAAAATCGCGCGGCATAGCACGATTAGGTTGCAGGGTAACTGAGTCGCGCAAGGTGTAGCCGGGTGTGTAACACCGAGAGTGTCGTCGTCGTCGTCGTCGTCGTCGTCTTCGGAGGCGTGAGTATCCGCGAGCGTGACGCGCGAGACGAGATGTTGGACGTCAGGCGAGACCGACACACCGCATCAATCATACTCACTCACTCGCTCGCTCGCTCACTCGCTCGTATCGTACGTTCTCCCTGGAGCATCGACGACGTCCCGGGCCGCTCTATCTTCGGGAGAAAATTGCTTACTTCCATACAGGCGAATACGGGAACGCTCCCGGTGACGACACGGGCGTGCGAAAAGCTTCACGACACAACCACGACGTTGCTACCGTAAAAAAAATAAAACTCGCGGAAATACGATGAGATGGTTGAAAAGAGCGGAAATAAGCGCGTGACGGCGAAATTATATCACGATATAACGAAGAATTCTCTTGTGTGCGTATGTGTATCGGCACGTAAAGGAGAATTTTTATCATTGTGCAAGATTGATTTTTATCATGTGAAAAGTTTGTGTACAAACAATGATTGAATTTGCTTATTGTATTAAGTTTCTTGGCTGTGAAGTTTCTTTTTACACAAATACGTTAGTCTACAAGAATATGTAAAGTAATGACCGGTTGTGTGCGTTTCAACCTACTTTTACGTGAGATAAAGATTTCTTTTACGTGAGATAAAACGCACGAGAGATTTACATCAATAACACACATCGGACTGATATGCATAACAAATACATGATTTATCTGCAGATTAGGGAAATAACTTTGTTATTTGTCATCGAACAACAGATGATAATAAAAATTGATAGATATTAAAATAAATATACTTTACACGTAGTTGGGGATCTTGTGTAATCACAATTTTAGAATTGTGATTGAAACTTGACGTCATACAATTTTTTTCTCTCGCAATAAAAAGACTTAGAGACGCGAGATTACATGTTTATTTAATTGTGACTAACTCGTTTGCCGCGTACGACAAATCACCAGTATTTTAACACGATCGCGCGAGATATGACATCATAAGGCGATTCGTGTCAATCGAGCGTCGATACGCGTGTGGTCGCGCGCCGCAAGAATAAGGAGGGAGACACCCACGTGTGTGTACCGAATAGCGCACCTTGACAAACTAGTTCAACAACGCCGGATATACAGCGGGCGGCCGGCTGGCGCCACGAATTTAGTACTTGATTGTCCCCCGTCGAACAATTGTTTCGCCGGTGGCGAATGTGAGAGAGGAGTCCCCGCGGGTGTCTCCGTCTTCTCGTCTTTTGCGTCTCTTCCTCTCGTCTGAGCAAACGAGACGCCGCGCCGGACAGCGTGCGCAGCATGACTCACTCTCAATCAAGGAGAGAAACATATTAGCGATTGTCTTTACCAATTGGGAATATGTGGGTGATGGTTATCGTCGGCGATATATATACGTGTAAAATAATACGTGTGTATATATATATATCGTGATGCGCGCGACGCGCACAATTATCGCGCCGTGTGCGCGCATGTGGGCATGATCGGTCTCTCTGACGCGCACATATGGACCCCTGCGGGTAGACGAACGATCGTTTTACCGTAAGCGCGCGCTATCTGGAAACTGGAACGTAATTGGCAGAAATTGGTCCAATTTAAGCCGATTAATCCGGATCCAGAGGAAGAATCCCGGCGCGAATATCGGTCGATCGGTGATTCGATTGGAAAAAAAAAAAAAACATCATCTCCGATCTCGAAAGATTGTTCAAATAATATTTTTTGTTTATTTTACACACACACACATGTTGTATCTCGCATCTCTTTCTGATATTTAAAAATACCTTTACGGTTTATCGAAAACATTGCAGAGTAAATTTAGAGATGTGTTAACACGTGTATCTGAGTAAAACGATAATTTGTTCATGTTATATTTTTGATGGAGTATGTAAATAAGATGCGCGTCTGATAAAAAATATTTCTACCGAAATCTTTAATCCCTCGCTCGTTATCGTCGTAGCTCCCTACGTATAACGTCGAGTGATTTCGAAATTTTGATGCGACGATCTTAAGAGAAGACAACGACAAACAACAACGACAAAAATGTGCACATTGTCAAATTAGTATTAACAGGAACTCTTCTCTCGGTCGTCATCGCTTATATCTAATCAGCGGCGTACGTATCATCGCGATTTAAAACCGCAAAGATCGATGGATGCTTGCGCGAAAAAATTCCGGCCAACTGAGAGAGAGCTTACCAGATCGATAGGAGTCTACGTGTGTGTGTCATTGATCATGGCAAGGCTGTGCAGCTGAGTTCACCGTATGAAAACAGTTCTGACCGCTTTTGTGCGCTCGCAAAACAAAGCTTTCGTCGAGTCACGTATACCCCAATACTCCGCTTCCTCCCTTTTCCCGCGATTATCGGCTCATTAGGTCACTGTACCACATGAACAATCGCGATGTTATCGTTAATCTAGATTACCGTGTGTCCAGTTCGAAATTTTCTTCGCGATACATTCCGCGCTGTTACGTCGAAAAATTAACTTATTCCTCGCAAAAAATCGGAGAACACGTTTTCAAAAAAAACAAAAGAAATTTGCTAAATACACAGAACTGTCAAAACAATAATTGTTTCTAACAAAGATAGATTCGTGTGGTCGCAAAATTTATTATCTCACGTTTTTACATGTCACACGTGTGTGTCTTACGAAAATCTTAAAACTCTGTCGCGCGTAACGGTTGCGCCGAG